GTTCTAATTTGCGTGGATTACCGCGTAGTAAATCGGTTAATGGTCGTAACCGTTCTGCCGCGTGAGGGATAAAACGTCGGTAGAAGTTAACCAAACCGAGAAAAGCCTCCAGTTCCTTGGGTGTGGACGGCACGTTGTACTCCTTGATTGCTCGAATTTTGTCCTCGCAAGGCAGAATACCCTCTTGTTTGATGATGTGACCCAGAAATATTATTTCTGATTTACCCAATTCACATTTTTCTGGGTTGACTACTATTCCATTATCCGAAAGGCGTTGGAATAATAGCGTAAGGTGTTGATAATGTTCATCTACGTTTGATGATGCGATCAGCAGGTCATCAATATAGACGTGAACAAAATCCAAGTCTCGTACTATGCTATCGATAAACCTTTGAAAAGTTTGAGCAGCATTCCGTAATCCAAATGGCATTCGTAGGAACTCAAACAGACCGAAAGGAGTCGTGATAGCAGTTTTCTCGATGTCTTCAAGAGCGACTGGGATCTGGTGATATGCTCGTACCAGATCGATTTTAGAAAAGATAGTCGTGCCCTTGAGCGATGCCGTGATGTCGTGTATGTGGGGGATGGGGTAGCTATCAAAGCGCGTAACTAAGTTTAATGCTCGGTAGTCGCCGCATGGTCTCCAACTAACCCCATCCTTTTTGCGCACCATATGTAAAGGAGAGGCCCAAGGACTGTGAGAAGGACGAATAATACCAGTAGATAGTAAATTGTCAAACTCACGTTTAGCGAAAGCTAATTTGTCCGGTGCCAGTCGGCGTGGTCTTGCCGTGACTGGTGGTCCGCGGGTGACTATGTGGTGTACCACACGATTGGTCACCGATGAAATCTCCTCGAGTGGTTTAGTTAATCTGGGGAATTTCTCGAATAAGGCGTGGAATTTATCGTCACGCGAATAAAAAGTTCCGAGGATTCGGTACGCGTACATCGGAGTCTATTATATTAATACTATTCTTATCGTTATCCGTCATGTCAAATATATATATTAAAAATTAATATGAAAATATATGACAGACGTGGATAGATAAAACAATAGACTCACCGAATTGCCTTCTTTGAAAGATTTGACCGAGGTTGAGGCGTGTTCCAATAGTTGGCTCACCAAATGTAGCGTGGTGTCGAGTTGAGCTTGACTATGAACACCGCTACAAGACTACGTGCCAATTAACCAAAAAGATCCTCGTAGACCAATATCAGAAGGCAGATAATAGTAGTAGTTGAAATATATTTGCCGGCGATCTCGTGGTATCGAAAGAATACCGTGATCGTGCCAAAGGAGTACAAATGCGATCAGCAAGGAAAGGTACGTGCGTAGTCACAAACCGCGTAGAAGTAATGGAGTACAATGGAAGACCAAAATGGCTATTATTAGAACAGTTAAACAAACGATCACAATAAAACAATCACTGGTACAATTGGTTATAATAATAATTGTTTTCATCGAACCAATCGCGTTCTGTTGACAAAAGTAGGTCACTATAAGACAATCAACTGAGATGATTCGTCATACGATTCATAAATTAAATTGAAATTTTTAAAGGAATGGAATGTATAGGGTCATCATGAGAATGCGATTTGTAGGAGACTAAGTTTCCCCTTAGTATTCAATATTGATTAATTCAAGCCACTCGCCTAAACCCAGTACTGAATAGCGACCTCTAGTTTTCAGCCTGACAACCTCCATGATATGCTATTCTTGAGATGTTCGTGCGATTTCATAATTACCGAGGCAAACCCCCATCAAGTTTAACACGAAATTTTCCACTAACACTATAATGTCTTATGACTGATGACCGAAACCACGTGGCAAAACCAACGATCAGAATCCTGATTTTTATGACTTAATGTCTCTAAGTCGATCAGTTACACGTTCAATTAGAACTAGTAACCTTGAGTCAACTGCTAAGTCCTTATTATTCCACGACTCTATAGCTACCTCCTACATTCTGGCCTTGCGTCCAGAGCTCAGTAACAAGCCTCAGTTATATTATATTTCAAGCAGACACAATTTATATACATGTATACCAAACTACATCACACAACAAACTGAGAAATAACAATCATAAATGATCGAGCCAAAAGTGGCTGTGAGCAGGAAGGACTGTTAATAATAAACTGAGGACTTGTTATGAGTAGTATATCATACAGTGGTAGTTAATGGGTTGGTCTAAAGCTTGTGATAAAAGAAATGTGTATATATCATAATTTAGTCACTTAACAACTACATAATATGAATAAATATAATAATAATAATAGTCAATAAATTAGTCTTGAAAGTTATCGTTACTTTAGTTTTCATTCTGATATAACGAAGAACACCATCAACAAACCGCATTCCCCAACATCTCAGTACCTTAGGCCGTTTACATTAATCCATCACGAGCAAGCTAAGCAAAGACGATAAATTGTCAGTCATCTTCCACAAGTCACATTCGTATACTGTGTTCTGGAAGACAGTAACTCTAGGTTGGCATTTGTTCATTATCGGATATATGGGATAAAAATTCATTGCAACCTCTTAATGGCTGAAAAGTTGAAGAAATCCATTCCGTGTTTGTCCTCCACAAAAGTGGTTACCTGAGCAACTTAGTCAAAACGTTTCTGTTTAATTGACATACAGTCACAAAATCGCCTCAGAAAACTAAGGGTTCAATCTTTCTATCATATATGAAAAACCATATAAGGATTTAAAAGTCCCTAGGAATCAATGTTCCCAACCAGTCAACACATTTACTTCATTCCATTCTATACAAATAAAAGACACAACCATGAAGGAAATCAAATGCAATATCACAAATGAAATAAATTGTATAAACTTTGAGAACTACTAGATTAAGCAAAGTGGATTCCCTTTCACCTATGTATGCACTAGTATGGACTAGGAGAGAATAGATAACGGTTTGCTTCCATTTACATCAATGCTTTTGGATTATAAGTAAAGATGGATAGTGGCTAGCAGTGGAATCCAGGACGCGCGTTTCGTCCTATTTAGGACTCATCGGCTGGATGTACCTGCGTCTCACAGTTAATGTTCGCTTTGGAACTCAGACCCAGCACTGTTCGCTTCAAACGCCATCGCGTTATCCACTTAGCTACTGAGTCCTGATAGGCAACATCGAGGCGATTCGCACAGTATGTATATATGCCAATAAAAGACTGATGAATTGCTGTCCCAAACAGTAATGGGAAGATTCAAGTAAACGATTCCAAGTGAATTTGAATTCAAATTAGTTTGTTCATATCCTTGTTTTTCGGAATCGAATAATGAATTTTTGGTAGTAATTTACTAACATTATGTTATAAGATTAATTGTTAGTTGTATTATTTAGTTTTCCATTAGGAATTCTAGTTTCATAAGCCTTTATAAAAAATTCTAATCTATAAGTGTGAAATGATGATAGGTTTTCTTGTTATGTAATTAACACTATTACTTAAATGGTATAAGTAAATTCTAGAAAAATGTCCTTTTATTTAATAATTGGCCATATAAGATTTTACAGTTAGACACAAATGAAGTGTTACTTAGGAATGTCTGTTTAAATTTTAATTAGTAACATTTTTTTTAGAAAAGCAATGATCGAATTCAATTGTTAAAGATGAATTTAATTGAAGAGAATGATTGAAAGTGATTAGAATAAATGTTATCACGAGCTGTCTTCAGATAGCAACAACAAAAAAATGTATTCATTCAGTGTACATTATTGTACTTTCTTTAGAATAAAAATTACCCAATGAAGAGCAAGTTATTATAGACTAATAAATTTCATAGTTGAATTCATAAGTTAGATCATTATGGAGTACCTGAAAGCACTAGACGGCTGTTTTGTTCTACTACGGGACTCTTCAGCAGTGTGCATCCACGATCCCGACAAGCCCTATCGGTCTGGAGCGCGAACACCTAACCTCTAAACCCCTTAGCCTTCATTCAATGATATCAATGTGTAACTTCAATCAATCCACGCTTAATAAATCTTGATCATATTTTTAAAACTAAGAACCAACTGATCGGTTTATAATGTTAAAACACTGTAGAAGCAATTCCTTTATAACTTTTAACAGAAAATAAGAACATCAGTAGAAATAGCAGATTATTTAAAGTAAATCAACATAGTTTTTTTATAAAGATTAATACTACTAAGAATTTAACTTCTGTATTTCAATTGTTCATATTCCTTGATTGTTAAAGAAACTATTCATGGTAATATAATGGTATAAAGTCGAATGAAATCAACTGAATAAAAAGAAACAATCATCCAGTGCTTCCAGGTTTTCCATGGTGATCTAGCTTCAATTAATTGACGATCTCAACTATTGAATTTTATTAATTTGGAACTTTATAAACTTTACATTTATTTAACATTTTGTCTAAAAGTACTTTTTTTAAAAATAAAAAACAAAGGTGTTATATTCAAACCTTCCTTTCATTATATCTAATATAGTAGATTATTTTCCTGTCTTATTTATTCAACACCCTATATAGTTTTCTTAATCGTATTATGATTGTTTTTATTTCTATTCGAATATTATTATTCTCCCTTTCAATAGATTAACAGAATAACAAATTTCCTATATATGGATTGATATATATATATATATATATATATATATATATATATATATGTAGGGATAGAATAAAAAGAGGAATATTTTCAACATGAATAATAGAAATGACCAATGAATATTAGATGTTTATTTTCAAATGTTGATTGGTTTATTTAATTTTTATTCTTTCCAAACAACAAAAAAAGAATTTATCACATTGTTTAATTATGCATCTATTCTAGTTTCTTGTATAAAGTTAAATACATGATTGTGTGTTTTTCTTCTTTTACTTTTTCTTCCTCTTCTTCGTCATATTTATGACAAAATTAATATGCCCATTTAATCTTAAAGTAACCATTTGGATATTACTGAAAAAAAAAAGAAAATTACCTTTTAAACATTAAACATAATAGAAATCATTACTACTATTACTACTAATACTAGTACTACTACTACTACTACTACTACCACTTATAATAATAATAATAATAATAATAATGAATCAAACATTTACTTTATATAATCATAATTCTGAATGTAATCATGAATCAATTCTAAATCAAATTATTTATAATGAGAATAAAAATGGATTATATTCATCGGAATCAACAATTACTAATTCAAATAATCTAAATAATATACAAAATACTGTATTATTTAAATCATGTACAATAAAATCTAATATAAAAGATTTTGATCATGATGATAAAGATATACCATTAAATCATTTTAATAATGATTATCCATTAACTCATTCATCTCCAAATTCATTTATAAATGGTAAGCGTTAATAGCTTTCTTTGAGAGGGAGGAGAGGCGGGGCTATTTTATGACGAAATTTAAATTTTCAACTTTGTTTTTCATTGATTGTTCAGATTATGAGTTAATTGAAGCTAGATCATCATGGAAAATCTTGAAGCACTTGATGGCCATTTCGTCCTATTGTGGAACTCCTCAGTAGTGTATTCAGTGGTTTAGAGGTTAGGCGTTCGAGTGCGAAACCGATAGGTCCTGAGTGCGAATCTCACGAGGCGGGATCGTGGATGCGCACCGCCGAGTCCCATATTAAGGCGAAACAGCCGTTTAGTGCTTCCAGGCTTTTTATGGTGATCTAACTTTAATTGATTCATAATCTCAACTATAATATCCACAGAAACCCCTTCTGAAATATGATTGTATTGAATTTCATTAAAATTGTTGATTAGTTACTAGTGAATTGCTTATTGTGTTTTTAGACAGCAAACAATGTATATGAAGATTATTGTATGTGACACTATGTTTTGGAATCGATTATTGATTATATGAACTTCACTTTTACTGAAAGGTTTTTTAAGTTTCACGTATTTTCCTGGTACTATTTCAATGGTTTAGCCTTGTATTTATAGTGTTCATAAATCATAGAATAATGACATAAAAGTATAATAAATGAGAGTGTAATGATTAAAAAGTCACAAATAATCTTCATCCTTACAGTTTCAAAATTATTAGAAACTTAGACCATTTAATTCTAGAGGAAATAAATTTCATGCAAAGATATGAGTTGTAAAGTTTTTCTGAGTTCATATAAAATAATGTTATTGCCTGTTATTACTAAAGAATAACGTTCAATGTGACTAGTTGATGCAATTCAGAAAATAAGTACATGTTCTTGTACTTCACTGTGAAATACATTTATTAATACTAACAGGATGTTTGAATTCAAGTAACGAGAGATGGGTTTGTACCTGTGACCCAAGAGTTGAAAATCAATCATTAAAGCTACTTATAGAATGTAGATTAACCGAAGTTAATTAGACGAAAAGATAATGAAATGAATGCAGTGACTTCCTGCAATGAAAACTCAAGATTTACATATACGATTGAAGTTTGTAGTACTGTCTAGTGGTATCATGTATGTTTTTTCTCTGCATTAACAGGAACATTTCAAATGAATACAATACAACTATATTAAGTTCATTTTCTTACATAGGAACCAGAAATATTTCACTTAAAATTAAAGGATCCGATGAGATAATTTACTGTGAATATCTTTATTATATTTTTTCTTTGTTGTATGCATCCATGGAAAGCTTGACATTATCTTTATTATTCAGTTTAAAATCAAAAATGATGAATTTTAGTAGTGAATATTTTATTTTGGACTTTAGTTTCCTTTGGGTTATCAATGTCATTAATAAAGGCTTATACTGACACGAAGTCTGTTGTAAAAGATAATGGATATTTTAAGTTAGTAACGTAGAGAAATACGCATTGATATTTGACACTACAGTTCTTGGATTAGTCTCCATCTTAACGATAGTGTTAGGATCCGAGTATATCCAGCTGGCAAATTTCAAATAGGGCGAATTGTGCAACCTAGATACTAATGCTAGCCGTTATAAATACATCAATGAGTCGGTTGTTGAAACATTTGCTATTATACATTTCAATATTTTTTAGAGCACATCTATTGTTTGGCATTTTATATAAATCTCTCAGAACTGAGATTCGATCGTTCACAGGAAAAATCAAAAGTATATTTGAAGGTTGGTGTTTGATTAGAGAATAAACTAAATTTAAGTTTATGGATTAATGTAATAGTTGAAATGATAATCCATTTAAAGCTAGACCAACATGGAAAACCTGGAAGCACTGGACGGCCGTTTCGACTTATCGGTCTAGACCGATAGGCAGGATCATAAATGCGCACTACTGAGGAGTCCCATGTTAGGACGAGATTCAAACCTAAAGCCTATCAGTCTCGTAAGCGAGCGCTTGATCTCTCATACTAGGATGAAACGGCCGCCCAGTGCTTTCAGTTTTTCCGTGGAAGTCTAGATTTAATTGACTCATGAATTCAACTATTAAATTACTACAATATCCACAAAACTCCTCTCTGTTTACGAATTAAGTATTCTAGTTAAGAACAGCAGTTCATAGAGTATGTATTTAATATGATTTTTAGCATGACTTATGTAAAATTTATTAACCAAATCATTCATCAATATTTTGGTCAAATTAGATATCATATATAGGCATTATCTAATTACATTTTCTAATTACTAATAAACATCAATTGATGAAATAAGCTATAATCAAATAATTTAATAGTTGAGTTCATGAGTCAATTAAAGCTAGATCATTATGAAAAACCTGAACAGCCGTTTCCTCCTACTGTGGAACTCCTCAGTATTGCGCATCAACGATCGAATTGCTTATTTAATTATTGTTTCTTATAAAACTATTATATTATACATATTCTTTCATGACTTTTAATGCAATAAAAAATAAAAAAAAGCTAAAAATGTTCATTCTTAATTTAAAACATATAATCAAAATAAATTAGATATTCAATTTACATTTAATTTCTATGGTTTAATTGTTATGATTCCCTACTAATGATAAGGATAAAAATGATTTAAGAATTACTTTTACAATGAATTAATATCGTTTTTGTTAAAACGAAATCATTGAAAATTATGAACTAGTGAATATAACTTTAAGGGGATAGTAAATTTATGTAACGAATAGAGATAATTATGTTTATTTTTCTGATTAGGGTTTTTTAGCGAGTTAGTTACCTACGGGATGGGGTCGCTAACCCTCATACTCAACCCTCCTCCTTCACTCAGGCTTGGAACCGGCAATAGCCCTAGAGGGGCTTCAGGCGAACTTAATAATTATATTACTATATTTAATATTATATATTTGATTATAGTAATAACAAATTTCCTTGTTTTATAAACATTGAACATGTGGATATTCAAGAAAATATGTATGTAAAATATTGTTAAACAGTGATTAGCTCCTATTTTTATTTATCCGTTTATATTTAGGGTTAGTTATATTCTCATAGCATCTATTATTATGTTGAAATGGTAGAAAAGATTTGTAGCCCAGGTAAACGACCAAACTGTCCAGCTCAGAGTATAAAACTCGATCAAAATCTATTATTATCGCCTAATATATTTCATGAACAAACCTTTTGCTTGTTCAAAGAACAAAGGGAATAGAAACTACACAGTGATTTTGAGATGGTGGAGATTTGTAGCTCAGATGGATGATTTTGATGGAAACTACACAAACTACCATTGTGATTGTTCTTAAGTTTATTTTATAAGTTGATGGAATATTTACTTTACTTTCTAGAATAGTATAGAAATACAGTGTGTAATATATTCAGCTTACATTTATGTATGTTTTTTTTGTTGTTTAAATTGAAGAAACTAAGCATGACATCAAGATGAAAACAGACTTAAGAAGTGATGATGAAATTTTGATGAATATAGAAGGTTAAAGCAACTAGTCTTTATAAATTTTGATAATGTAATGATAATCTTCGTCTTCTTATGACATTATCGGAATAAAGAAGGAATAAAGATAAAAATTATTTTGACGAGAAAACGAAACAAACTAAGTTGATCAAATTGATTACAGTATTTGTACATAAGATATGAATAGTAGAATAACCATGTTAAACATTCTATGTTCATCAATGCTCATCAATTCGTTTTTATGTAATGGCGATCCTGCTGTAACCTTCTTTTACTTTCTTCATAAAAAGTGGTTGCTTCTTCCTTAACTGAAAGATTTCTTCTGATTGTACCTTTCCGTTTCCCTCATTATTGTTCTCTCTCTTTTTTTTATAATTCCCAACGTTCATCACTTTTTTTTCTTTTTTTTCCTTCTCTTTAAATTCTCATTGTTTTTTGTGGCGCATATATATTTGGTGTCCCCTTGTACCAATATTTATGTGTTCAAATAAATAAATAAATAAATAAATAAATAAATAAATAAATGTCATATATAAGATAAGTTGAACAGGTTAAATTTCATTTGTTTGTTTTTAATTAATGTTAATGGATTATTAGTTTTGCAAACATAATAGTTCAGTAGTTGAGATAATTCAACTATCTGTTTTAAATGTCATACTGTTTATTTTAGCTTCAGTTGTCAGATAAAGCTGCTAAATTATACACGAAAATATATAACTCTAAATAGAATGTACGAACTTATATTTAGTTCATTAATTTATTAGAACAGAATTTTCTTTCCTATGACCTGACCATCTAAAAGTTGAATGTACTTTTCAAATATTTTATTAAAGTAATAACATTTCTACTCTACCTAAAAACAGATAATATTTATTGTTAGCTAGGTAAAATAAATAAAAAATACACACAATTATTCAGCAATAAATTAGATCTGAAGATTTGTTTGATTAAAGTACATACTGAAGATTTCTAAGATCTTCTTGTACTTTATTGAGTCTTCCAATTTACAGTTTTCAGTAGCCAGTATCAACTTATAGATCCAATCACAATATTCACAAATGAAAGAAAAGGAAAAATATAAATAAAAAAAATTAATCATCGATTGTCACTAGATTCATCAGTGAAAAGTAATGAAAATTAGAATGTTTGTCTCCCGGTTTGGTACCAGTGTTTTCAACGAGTTAGTTTATACGTATTACCGTAAATCTTTGTCAACAATGGGGGGGGTGACAATCACAATTGTGAAGTACTCAACCTCATAAACATGAAATATGTTTTTTATGATAAATAATTGTAAAATACTTAAAAAATAAACATGAAATGTAAAATGATGTAAGTATTCCATGCAAATGTAATTACTCGTAGATGAAGGGACATTTATTTCCAGATGATAGCTAACATTTAGATAGAGGCTGAAAACGAGAGACCCACATGATGTGTGTATATATATCAATTAATTTTGAAATTGACATGTAATACTCTGTTAGATTTGTAAAATTGAGATAATCACCCCTAATTGAACATTTA